GAGGTAGTAATGCTTTAAAAAGTTTTTAATGTTTATTTCTGTGTGTGCAGGGAGGGGCAGAGAGAGAGAGATAGAGAATGAGAGGCAGGCTCTAGGCTATGAGCTGTTAGCACAAAGCCCAGTGGGGCACTAGAACCCATGAACCGTGAGATCATGACCTGAGCCGAAGTCAGACACTTAACCAATTGAGCTACCCAGACGCTCCTGAGATAGTAATGCTTTTAAAACATATTTTTGCTACAGTATCCTCCGTAATTTTTTTTATTATTGAAGTATAGTTGACATACAATGTTATACTAGTTTCAGGTGTACAACGTAGTGATTCAATAATACTTAACAAACTGCTCACCATGGTAAGTGTAGTTACCATCTGTTATTATGTTATTGTGTTATTATGTTATTGTTATTATGATATTGAGACTATATTCCCTATGCAGTTCTTTTCATCTCTGTGACTCTGTTCACCTATTTCATGCATCCCCCACTCCCCTTTCCTCTGGCAACCAACACTTTGCTCTCTGTATTTATGAGTCTGTGGTTTAAGAAAGTGCAACTAGGGGGAGAAAATAGAGATAAACATCTCTCTCTCTCTCTCTCTCTCTCTCTCTCTAAAGAAGGTTTAAGTGTTCTTGTTGCCTTGCTGCACACCCCCCTCATCTCTACCCTCAACCCCTCTCTCTAGTCAAAGCCTGATAGGAGGTAAGATAGTGTGTGAGAGCATAGAAAAAACCAAGACCTTCTGTTGTGCTTCCTATTCAGAACTCTGGGTTGTCACCACCTCACTGAGTGTCCAGACAGGATGCCATTGTCACTAGAATAGATATTATGGTATGGTGTCCTTAGGCAGAGAGAGGGCTGGAAACAGGCTACCCCATTGCCCACTTTGGCTTTGTGTGATATGAAAGATACCAGCTATTCCCCTGTAGTCCCAGTAAGCAATGAAGAAGGTTTCTCAGGGATGGAGGTCAGTGGATCTGACATGGGACACCACGTCAAAGGGACAGGCGATCCCTAGCACAGGTGTGGAGCAGACAGTATGGTCTGGGGCCTAATAGGATACCTGACTGAGCCTCAGAGGACCTCATCACCAGTGAACGCTAAGGCTTAGCCAACCAAGTCAGTGAAGGAAGGACCAAAGAACCTTGACTTTGCTTTAAAAAAAAAAACAAAAAACCCCACAAAACACAGACCACAAGTTTCTCAGGACATCAGCTTCAGCAGGAGGTGTCAGGACTGTCAGGACTCATGAAACGTAGGATTTTGTTAAA